CATATTGAATTTCAATATGGTGTACCCAAGATCCGTGATCCAAGATTCCTCCCAGGAGCCCGGTGCAATCTTGGATCTTGGATCTTGGATCCGGCATATTGAAATTCAATGTGGCTCAATATTTCAATGTGGCCTTCCGCGGGGCCCATGTTGAATATTTCAATATGGGGGATCCAAGATCGGTGATCCAAGGTTCCTCCCAGGAGTTCGGTGCAATCTTGGATCTTGGATCTTGGATCCGCCATATTGAATCTCAATGTGGCTCAATATTTCAATGTGGCCTTCCGCCGGGCGGAGCCATATTGAAATATTGAGTCGCATTGGGTTTCAATATGGCTAGTTTTCGCGGATCGTGAGTGAAGAGATGTTCATGATAAGATGCTTGTGAGCGGGAGTAGTTGAAAAGAATAAAAAATAATAGCACCAGGAGATGTTGGTGAGTGGGAAGAGTTGAAAAATGTCAAAAAGCATTGCTTGTGAGTGGGAAATGCTGAAAACAGTAAACAAAACATAGATCTCTGGGGGGGTACCACATAGATATAGATACAGATGTAGATATCTATAGATATGCATTTAGATGTAGACATAGATACAGATACCGAAATCGAAATCGATACCGATACTGAAATCGATATCGATAGTGAAAACCATACCTATGTAGATATACATATAGGTATAGATACAGATATAGATATGGGTATCAGCGGGCCATAGTTCTCACTACCGCTTTAGGGCTCGGCGAATCCCGAAGTGTCCAAGAGACCATACTGTGGAAAAAAACAAACGGCATAGAAGGCTTGGGGTGTAAATTTTAAGGTTTAGGGTTTAGGATTTGAGGTCTTTAAGGCGTGCCTTCCCTAGCAGCCCAGCTAAAGCCTTATGCCGATAACCCGATAACATACTATATGATTACACGCGTAACTGGGCTTCGAGGGTCACTAAGGCGTCCGTATAGCAGGCATCCTGCTCAAAACCCTGGAACCCTAACCACGGCTGAAAAGCCTCGGGCGTCACTTCGTACAACTCGCATTTGCCCCTATGCCCGTCGTGTGGGACACGATGAGTAGGGCTTTTAAGGTCTGTTGTAGTGTAACTGATTTCGCAGGCCTCTACATTGCTCTTGGCTTAAACTTTCGCGATTGCTGGCGTTTGGGGAATAGCGCACATATAACACCAGGATCCAAACATACATAAAACACGCACAACTTCTGTTCCGGCCCCAGATATCCCCTCGGAAAAAGTAGCCCCAGTCGTTGCGATCCCCATAACCATAGATCCACCTCGAGTCGAACATCCCAAACCCCGCACCCCCAATCAACCCCAAAGCCCACCCGTCTGCCTCATTTCGGACTTGGATTGAGTGCGCACCACTCTACCAAACCACAAGCATCCAACACTCCATATAAGTCCTGACCCGATCTTACGCAAGGTCCCCTCAAACGCTCGGTTAGAAATCAAATATATCAGCGGCCAAGCCTACAACCTTAAACCCGCGGCCCTGAAAACGCTAAACCCCTAAACTCTAAACCCTTGCCCGTAAACCCTGAACCCGAAACCCTCGACCGTCTAAACCTTTGAACCCTGAACCCTTAAGCCTTAAACCCTAAACCCTTAACCCTCACAAACCCCTCGCCCTTAACCCTGAAGCCCTTAAACCGTTAAACCCTTAAACTTAAACCCTTAAACCCTAAACCCTTAAACCCTTAAACCCTTAAACCCGAGACCCGAATCTGCTCCACCTGTTGGAGAGCACAGCTCGGGCAGCAGGAAGACCTGTTCGGTTTCCTGCGAGATGTGTTGAGGGTTTAGAGTTTAAGGTTTGAGGGTTTAGATCTTAGGGTTTGAGGGCTTAGGGGTTAAAGGGTATGGGGTTGGTGGGGGTATAAGGGTATAAGGGTTGGGGTTTAGGGTTCAGGGGTTAAGGGGTTCAGGGTTTGGAGTTAAGGCCTGGGGGTTCAATATTCAGGACTGGGCGTTTGGGGTTTGGGGTTCAGGGTTCAGTATTTAGGGCCAGGGCATTGGGGAATAACTCCTGGTCCGGCGTTTAGGGAGTTTAGGGTTCAACGGTTTAAAACTTTGTGGCTTGCAGCAGGTTGTTGAGCGCAGCTTTGAGTGTTCATTCTTTGCGGCCCGCCGTTTTGGGATAGTTTCGCGCAGAACACATCAACAAGTGCTCCGGGGGGTGGCTCGCTTTTGTAGAACTGTGCCGAGCAACGCCTGCCTGTTTAACTACTTGCTGGCTTGCTTCTGAATATTCACTTCTGACTACTTAAGACTTACTAGCGAGTACTCAGTACGTTTTACTTCTTACTTAAAATACTTTCTAACCCTTTATACTACTTAGACCTATTGCTGAAGTACCTACTTTCTGCTACAAGCGATGAACTGCATTTACTCTTTACTTTGTCCGCAACAATTACTACGCGTCGCACTATACTATACTTACCTGGTACTTAGTACTCACTGTTTGCCAGTGACTACAAGCGATGTGTTGGGTGACAACTTCACTACTGCTGAGTACTCATTATGAAATGTTTAGTCTGTACTACTTTAGAAGTATCATATACTACATAGTGCTCATTTCTATCTTCTACATATACTGTTGCACAGTACGTATTACTTGATTCGTATAGGCTTGCAAACTCATAACTACCACTACTCAGTATGCCGTATTTCCTACTCATTACTCACGATTTACTACCCTCAGCTCTGATTACCAACTGGTCTCTATGCACACAAACGACGCTAAACATGCCCCAATGCCTCTGTTCAGCATGGCATCTTCATGGACAAGTGTTGTCGGCAACACGCCTCTATCAACAAAATGTGTCGCCTTCTTCTTCACAGCTGAGTGGGACCAGTGCTTGAAGCGTTAATCCCCAGCTGAAACACCAAGCCATTTGACAAGTTGCCACAAAACTTCACTGCCCTGCTGTCGTCCGCTCGCGAGAGCATGGAGGTGCGGGCCAGGCAGCCGCATGACTGTGGTCAGAAACAACACCGCTCACTAGCTGCAGGCACCTCCTACACAGTAGATGATGCAAGCTCTCCCGCTTACGAAAACTGACAGTGAGGACGGCAGCCGACTAACAATATCATGACCTGGATTGGATCTTTTCAAGAAAATTTTGGAGTTCACACTCCATGGCACCTCTCGGCGCCAGCCCATACTTCTCAATCCCACGCTGAAGCGACGACAAGGCAGCAAACAGCCCGTCCACCATTTCATGTAAACCAGGCTGTGTGGCAACATTCACTTTCCTATGCTTCTTGTCATACGTGATAGCAACCCGGCAGTAGAGAACATCATGCACCAATTACCGTGGTGGCGTGGCACCCTTCATGTGAGCGTCGATGGATTGCTTCTGCTGGGGCGCGATGGCGGAGTCTACGGCATTCTGAATCAAAGCAGTCGATCTTGTCGATGGCCTTCAAAACCGACGAACATGTTGCCGATTCTGTCAGTTGCGACAAGAAGTTTGTCGATTTGTCATCAATGGCCGGTAAAGCGACAAACGTGTTGCAGATTTTGTCGATTGGGACAAAGCGTGTGTCGATTTTGTCGATGGCGATAATGATGAAATCTGTTGGCAATGACAAAGTTTCATCGATAGCGACAAAACTTTGTCTACCCCTACAGTGCTTTGTCGATGGATACAGTTTGCGGGCGGCCGGGCTGCGATCAGCGATCACATTTAGACTATTCATCCCGCGCTGAATTGATCTACTGCTGGGGCAGTGCAGCAGCCTGGCAACGTCAGCATCCGCATCAGTCTGTATCAATACTATTGTGTTGCAAAGCAACAGGTTCGAAGCACTTCCATTCAAGTCATTCAAGGCCTCAAGTCCTCAAAACATGCCCCCAAACCTTAAGCCCTGAAGAGTTCAAACAGGGGGTCTGTGGTTCTCAGCCCCAACTACTTGACAACACTTCCAACAACCGCTTGTGCATCGAATTTGTCTCTGACAACTTTTCGCCCCCAGCGCGCAGCCCTCGAAGAAATTTGACAGCGTTGAGAGTGAAAAGGCATTTCAAGTTTAGGATGCTGCTTTGTAAGCTTCTGATCCGGGACGCGAACCTCAAAAAAAGTCCTAATATTTAAAACGGTATCCCGAAAGCCAAGATTGCACCATTTCACGGAGAATGTCCTTAGAGAGGTCTCCTTCACGCGATAGATTTGAAAAGGTTATAAGTGAAAAACTGTATGCTATATCTTACAGATTCTGTGTTACATAATTGAGCTATTCTAATTTATAGGTTCTCCTGCAAGGCTGACAAGTTGCCCATTCTTAGAGGAGTTTGCACATTGACGAAATTGGCAGTGGCGGCGGCATCAGAAGCATCGGCAGCAACTCTGTACGTACGTTTCCGTCCCTTTTCCCCAAACCCAACCCCAAGTCCTAAACCCAAACCCCTAAGTCCTAAACCACAGTTCTTCAGCCAATACCCTGGTCCTTCTCCGGATAGGCTTCAAGCAGTGGCTGGTACTTGTTCGCGATCGTCTTGTGATAAAAGGCCTTTCAAAAGGGAGGGTCTGAAAAGTCCTAGTATCGAAGGCTGAAATTATATCAGATACCCTCAAAGACCTGTTCCAAAACTTAAGCCCCCGATGTTTTTCTAGCTTGCTTTGTCAACTCCTAGGTCGAGCTCCGACCGCGGCGGTCTTCCGGAAACACATGGTCTTAGATTTAAGGAGGTTTCAAGTGGGTTTGAAGGGCTTTGATAAAAAGGAGGGTCTGCCCGAAAGCGTCACAGCATATCCCTATCATTAGCACGAAGAACGCCATGTGTTCGCTCAGACACAATCCTTCTCAGTTGCTGCACATGCGATTAAGGCTGACATGACGGATGCTCCTCATTTGATGTCTGTCCTCAGTTGGTTGAAGCATCAAACTCACAAATGCAAGGGAGGCACACGCACCGGCGCAAACTTCCCTTGGTCAACGGATTCTACAGGAATGAATAACGTTTCGGATTACAGCAAACACGTGCCATCGCCTCGTAGTACTTCGCGAAGCTAATCTCCATGTGCTCCTTCTGGTCACGCTGGTACATCATGAACCTTGACGGGCGAAGTCGTCACCATAACTACCATCACAACCATCATCTTCACCGTCATCACCAGCATAGCCATCATCATCAGCATTGTTAGCATCATCACCATAGTCACCATAGCCGTCGGCGTGCTCTACACGGCCTCCAGCATATCATCACCATAAACACCACTGACTCATTGGGATGCAATCGTCACCACCATCATAAGTTTCAGAGACTGATTTACAGCTTCCTCAGCCAATGTTTGGTGCACATGCATGCATGGATTTAGCCAGAGCTCGACGTCACAAGCCGACGATCCCTTAACGTTGAGGCCGGCACGTGTGCGAAGGATCCTTGTCAAAGTGCACCTGCTTGATCCTCGGACATGTTCTCCGGTCCGTGTTCATAAGCGCTAGACCGCAATAGCTGGGCCTTCTGACACAGTACCGCCTGGTACCGTAGTGCATGTGCATGTATGTAGGCATGTCCCTGTGCATGTGATGTAAGTGCGCGCGTGTCTGCACAGACATCATTAAGCATGCATCTGAAGGATGATTGTGGGGTTGCACGAGTGATCGTATCTATCTGGCAAGTGAAGATACTAATAACAATGGTATTGAATTTGTTCTTAACGTTCTTACTGTTTTGATTATGATGATGGTTCTTCTTATTACATATTGCATGTGGCCAGTGTAGAGGCCATCCTGAAGACTGTCTGGTGCGGCGGATCGATGCGGCGTCAACTGCCCAACGTGGCATGAACACGTACCTTGCCATTCCCACCGAATCAGGTGGAGCCTTGTGCCGGAATGGCCGGGGATCCCGTAAACTCAACTCCGATCGCCAAAGACAGTGTAGAGCCCAAGCTTCTTTGAAGGAGAAAACCTTACGATACCCTTATCGGTTTTGGGTTTAGGGTTTCGGGCTTAGTTTAGGGTTATGAGTCGCCAGAATTAAGGCATGTTCGATCCCCCGATTCTCTCAGACCCCTGACGCTAGGCTCTTAAGCCCAAACCCCAAAGTCTGAAAGCCGAAAGCCCAGTTTAGGGCATACCAGAAACCCGGGGCCCCCGAACCGGTCCCAACCCGAAGGACAAAGCTCCTGCAACCCAAACCCCATGAGATCCGCCTCAAGGCCTGGCGAAAAAACAAAAAAAAACAAAGCTTCTCTAACCTTTGAACTCCAAATCCAAAAAGCTTCAAGCCCCCCCTCTATTCCGAGCTCTTGACCGGTAGACCCTGCTGTTGTAGGATGTCACCACGGTAGCAGAGACCTGAAAGTGCGATCAGGTTTGCGGGAGGACGTATGCTGCGTTTAGGTCTTAGGGTTTCGGGCTGAGGGTTCTGCGTTTCGAGGGTTTGGGGTTCAGGATTCGGGGCTTTTAGGGAGGCTTTGTGAGTTTGAGGTTTTGTGTGGGCATTAGCGTTTCAAGGGCTTTGAGGTTTTGATCTGGAGGGTCTGCATAGCCAAGCACGGTTTAGCTTGTGACGGAGCCTCACCCCGAAGAAAATCTGGCGATGGTACTATATACGTCCTTTGTTATTCTTGAAGCTTCCCGTGGAAAGAAGAGTTTGTTCCTTCGCAATTCTTGAAGCCTCCGGTGGAAAGAAGAGTTTGTGCCATTCAGCAACTCTACTTGTGGCCTTGCTCCATGCTTAGTCCGAAATGCAGCAGCCGGACTCATATCAACATTCTCCCATGATGTTCATTAATATCCTTATTCTAAGAATATGCCCCGAAAGCCTATGCAACTAGCCACTTATACTAAACCCAATTGAGAAAAGCCCCGTCTGATCTCACTCCGGAGGTGACCCGTCTGGGAACGTCAATAAGGTTTAGGGTTTAGGGTGTATGCTACCCCGAATTTTCAGCAGAAGTCATCACAAGAATAGTAAGAGTTTGCCAATAATACGGATCGGAGCTCCAGTTGATTCCATTCTTCGCCAGGGTGCACAGCATCGAATCCACTCGGCTGCGACGTCCCGATCCGTCTGGTGGGCCTTAGTTCAGAGCTCCTTCGGTTTGCTAAGCTTTGGGTTGAGGGATGCGAACAGTCGGGAACATCTGACACCCAGGGACCAAACCACCGAAGCCTTGCAAAGCTTCGAAACTCTGGGACAGCAAGTGAATGCTTGAATAGGCCATGTGACCTCGCATGACCACTTCGACCCTTACAGATCTCCCAGAACCACCGATATGCCGAACGCAAAGACTCCAAACCCATACCCACCACATAATAGATCCTTTAGAGAAAGCTCTTGATTACAGATCCCTTGTGGCTGCTGCGTAAACCTGAAGAGACACCCCGGATCTCGTTTGTTTATGTGGGCTTTAAAACTGTACCATAAAACCAATAACAATAAGATCACAAACACTAATGGCAGCGGTATGACAAACGATAATGATCATATTGATAGGAAAAGAACAAGATGATAGTGTTCCTAAGAATGTATTATTTACTATTACTGGTATTATCATAGAACTCTAACCCCGTAAACCTTGGAACCGTTTGTTCCTAGCAACTTTGCAAGGTGCTGAACCGAAGCACCGACAGGGAACCTGCTTTATCGTTTACGGTGTTGGGCAACTTTTGCGGCACTCAACAAAGGGTGCCGCTTACTACTGCGATGGTTCGGGTTTCACGGGGCTAAACCCTATGGCCCCATGAATCCTATAAAATGCTGAGAATTGAGAACCTTGAAGCCAATAAGCACTGAATCCTAAAGCGCACCCGATATTGCCCAGGAGAGACTGAGTGCAGACCGAGGTGCAAAGATGTCGGCGCCTTCGGTGGCGAGAACAATGGTAATCATAATCATAAAGGTAATCCATAACAATCGTATGGTTATTATTTGCTGTGAGTTTAAGCCCGTGTTCCTCCTTGTTGTGTGTGTATGCTGTTGGCAGTATAGAGGCCAAGCAGGCAAAAGCGAGGATCTGTCCAGAAAGCAAAGTACATGAATGACAACTGCCGATGTAACAATCCATGTTCAAAAACTTGGCATGTATACTAGGTGTGTGTATATACATCTTTACAAGAAATATAGAGACAAATACACATGTGTAAAGGTATGGGAATATACACGCATGTGCACATGTTCTTCGATGTAAATATTTTTAACTTTGGCTGTTCACAATTTACTGTTTGCTGGACTGCCTTCCCCATATTTGGAGATGTGTCTTTGTCGGTTCTTGCATATGACATGTCACATGACATGTGCCGCTTAGAACCTGGTCAGAACAGCAGGATAAAGTAAACCGTAACCCTCAATCCCACACCTTAAGTCCACGCGTGTGGACCTGATGTCTCTTTTCGGGCCCGGCCGAGTTTTGATGGGCAGAATCCTGCCTGACTCATATACTGTGGGGTTCTCAAACTCAGGGTCCCTGTTATGGATCCCCAGAACGAGGCATCACTCTTGGAATGTCCTGAAAGGGACCCTATTTTCGAGAATCACCCATACGTCATCCCTCCGATCGTCGAGGATGTTTGATACGACGCAGGATTTTGGCGCTCACCTCCCAAATTCCCCAACATCAAAAACGAAAAGAGATCCGTTTCCAGATTGCTGGGACCGATCTTCCCAAGCTCTTCTGTTAAAAATCCACTGTCACCCACTCAGAAGTTCGATCTTTTGAACCCTGAACAACGAGGACAGAACAAACTCAAAGCGTAGAACTGATGTTTGCATCCAACCTAAAACTGGACATTTCGCATCCGAGTACATGCCACCTAGCATATCCCCAGGAGCCCAGTTGTTTACCGGCCTTTGGGTATTAAAACGTACGTTTTCGCACGCAAAGTCATTCGCCGATGCACCCTGAGTTCGAGCCTGTCCTGCTACGGTTTAGAGGCTCAGGGGTGCCTTAGATCGGAGCCGCTGGCAGAAATAACGTAGCAGACCAGCCTGAAATCTTAGACAAAGGTGGTGAGATGCACTGACTCGTGAGATATACTGCATAGGAAGGCTGTTGCAATGTCATATTCACTTTGTGAGAGTCCTCAACTTCCTATGAAGCATGCCTAGAACAAACCCGACACGTGGCAATACTACAGTACTTTCCAAACATCACAGCCCCTTGAGCGGACAAGGGACCCACCAAGATGCCATATCTCGAATCCCGGGTCCTAACAACCCTAAACTGCCACATAAAAAGGGTCCTAACAACCCTAAACTGCCACATAAAAACAACAATCTCAAGGGTTTATAAGATAAAAAAACATAAATCCTAGCCTTCCAGTGAAGCTTGCAGAATCTGAACGATGCTCTGCTTGCGGACGGGCCGATCTATCCTGGCTGCGCGCCCGCACAACCGACGAAAAACAACATCACTAAGTCACTAAGTAGGGCGTCCATCACATGGCTTCAAGTCTACTGCGAAAGGAACTCCACCTGGAGTAGCCTAAGTACTCTACAAAAACTTGGACTAATATGACGATACGTTTTGAATCGGTTTAGGGCTTTAGGATTTGCAACCGAGGCACTTCATTAAATTGTCAAAAGATGGAACTGAACCACTTATTCTAGAGTTTGGGATTTCTACCAACCCTCTTAAACACCCCAATGCCGAAAAGACGAGACGGGATAAAAGGTTTAGGTATGGGGATATTTGGCTCTAGACTTAGATCGCATGCGGCAGCATCATTGCATCAAACCGAGCTGGAACGTTGCCTGCGCTGTGCTACAAGCACCCAGCCGAACAACATACTGAGCAACGCTGAAGCCTGGCCATCTACCATCAACAAGGAGCTATGTGCCGACATCCAACCTGCAAACTCAAGAACTCTCAATGCGGATTCCCGAACATAGGTTTGCACCCACCAGAACATCAACCAACCAACTAGTTTTGGTCTTGGCGCTTCCTCCAAGCCAAGCTTCATGACTCTTAGTGTTCTTCCATGTTTCACCCCCGAGAATTAGAACCTGCAGAACGTTCGGGAAAAGCCTGCTCACTGTCTTGCACAAGAAACTCCTAGCCCAAGACGCCAAAACCAAGCTTCTTGCCCTTGATGCTGCCTTGCGAAAGAAGCCCACGACGCAGACCCAACAGCTGCAACCCGCAACCCCATACCCTAGGCAAAGGACCCAAACAAATCCGTGATAAGACCATAGAACATAGACGTCGAGTTCCCGGGCAGCACCTATCTGGAAGAAAACCCGTGAATCCCATAACAACCCTCTGTACTTTAAGGAACCTGGCTCACCCTTTCAACCGAGCATGGGAGCACATGTCGAGTTGTAGGAGAGGTCCGGCAGAGCTTACCAAGCTGCTGACCTGTTTCTTCCTCTGCTTCTTCTTCTTCAGAGGTTTATGTGAGCACTAATCCCGATCCTCACTAGATAGAGTGTTGGGCTTGAGCGGTCTAGGCGGCCCAGTCTTCTTGGGGTTTGGGGTTCACAGGGTGCGGCGGTTGGTCTAAGGCCAAAGCAAGACGCTGGAAGGCTGGAATAAGGGTAATGTAGGGGCCTTAATACTTACCTACACTATTTCGGGGTTCTTCATTAAGTCTGAAACTCAAGACACGCTGCGGTGAGTTTGCTTGTGAGATCTTGCAGCACGCAGCAACAGTCTGGGTGAGACCACGAAGGACCGCATTCCGGTAAACCTTCTAGCATTCTCAGGGCACCAGCTCAAGGCTCAACCATGCCTTCGGCATAGACCAAGTCCGGTGCACCTCACGCCCTCGAGCCAAGGAAATTCCCATGTGACCCCTTATTTGAACTCCTTGCCTGTTGCACAGTGCAGGTTGTGGCCTCGGAACTGTGATCCCAGACCATTCCATTGTCACGCTCAACGTCACAGGCCCCGTTGCTCCATAGTACACATGTGCTGTCTTTACCAAAAGACACTCCCGTGCAAGTTAAGGTTCGATCGCATTCCCTCTTGCACGAGTGCAAATCCCGAATGTATGAAGGGACATCGAAATCAAAATTGTCTTCCCAGCAGGGCTGAAACATTGGGTCATCACAAGAGTAAGGATGCCTGACCCTGCACATGCCATCATGAACGCACGTGTAATCCTTGGGCGGAATGGTGGTTGTCGTCATGGTTCTTGTGGTGCCTGTGGATGTCGTCATGGTTCTTGTGGTGCCTGTGGATGTCGTCATGGTTCTTGTGGCGCTTGTCGGATGCTCTTTCCTTGTAGCCATTGTTGTAGCGGCTGCTGTCGTGGCGATTCCAATGAAGATCAGTAGACAGAGAAGGAAAGGCGTCAGGACAGAACGTCCTTCATTCCCCGAATCCTGTTCACTCCCTGAATCCTCAGCTGTCGCCTCTTCGCATTCCTCACGAGCAGCCTGGCCACAGCACTGGCCCCGCCAGGAATGGCTCCCCGAACCATCTTCACTGTCACTGCGCCATGAGTCTTCGTCGACGACCGTGATGACCCTTTCCACGTTCCTCGGATCCCGACCTCTCACGCCATTGGACTGATTGGACACTTCTCTCTGCACGTCCTCCTCCTGCACAGGCTTCGCAGAACTGCGTCTTTTGTCGGTGAGGGCTTCAATTAAGGTCTCAAGGGTTCAGAGGTCTGAAGCCATGGATCAGCGATGAGGTACTAGAGTTTGGTCTGACTTTTTGGTTTCAAGGGTTGAAAATTTGAAGTTCGGCAATCTTGGCCAAGATCTGGAAGAAGGCAGAAGCAACAGAGACGAATCTCGATATTGCTACATCTTCGTCGAATTGCTGCTTCCAACTAAACCTCTGCAGGCGCCTGAGCCTCCCCTGTCCTGCCGTATTGGCTTAAGCCTCGGGGATGTTTAGGGATGTTCAAGGGTTAATGGGGTCGCAAGTTCACACGTGTCGTAGTTTCTCGGCATGCACAATAGGCGGAAGGCTGCGTGCCAAAACGAAAGCATGCACATCGCAGAGCATGGTTGATGCTGGCAACAGTGAACAATACTTTTAAAAGGGGCAGGGGACTGGTCCTTTAAGTACGACATGCACCGCCACACACGTGCTGGTTTGTCGCGATTCAGCACCTGGGCACCCCTTACTGCCTGACGATCCCCTCCAGTCCTGTGTTGCTGGCATCTCGTGGTACCCCGAATTTTGTGGACCACAGCAAAACCAGGACACAATGAAAAGCGCCAGTGCCACGAGCGACGTTTGCCACCCGAATGCAAACATGCGGTCGAGCCCTTGCTCCATCTCGTCTGGGTACTTCGAGGCATCAAACAGAAAGTTCATGATCTTCCAAAAGACGATCTGCTGCCACGACTGCCCACCCACACGATCAAGAAGTATGCCGACGAAACTCGTATCTGTATCAGTGTACTGGTGCAACTTATGCCGGAGGTAGCAAGCGAAGAGTGATGTCAGAGCACCGGCCTCAAAGAATCCAATAAGGATGGCCCTCATTGCCGCAAAGCAATATGACTCTGGAGCTTGTCGAGCATCCACCAAAGTCATGCAGCAGCCAACCTGCAATGGATTCATGCTAACACCGTACTCTTTTATAGTTGGGTATAACCACTCAGATCCCACGCACTGATGTATCCGTTAAGTGTTAGCAGAAATCAATATACCATGGCGCAAAGCACCCGGACTTTTCTACTAGAGCACTGGTTGGCAACGGCGCATCCATACACAAGGTGTACTACACAAGGGGACAACAGTTTACACGTG